ACTGATGTTTATATTGAAACGATGAACGAAAAGGATGAAGGAGAACATCAGGTACAGAGTGTATGTATGATACCTTATTTAGAGATTAATAAGTCAATACTTTCATGTAACAGCATATTGTATATAGTATTTATCTAATTTATTGAATTAAATATCGTTGCCATATTTATGGATATATTTTTATTGTTCAAGGAAAATGTAGATCAATTTTATTGAAACCAGAGATGTGACATAAGAAACTTTTGATTAGAGCTATTTCAGAGCCACAAACTAATTAAAATCAAGCACAAAAAATGTATTCTGACTAAGAGCCACAAACAAATTAAAATCAAACTTTCAAACAAAAATGTTTTTGACTATCAGCAGCATTTAAACGGCTCCTAGATAACAGAGCAACAGATACGCTAGACAGTACTGCCGTATACGTTCCATTATCTTATATTACTATTATTTTCATTTGTATACTTAAAAATCATTTTGCATACTGATATTTCCTCTCACCTTTATTTAAACTTATCCTCCTTGAGTTTTTCATTCATAAGATTGATAATCTGCTGCTGATTTTTTTCTATTTTGGCCTCCTATTTACCTAATTTACCTTCGGGCGTATATTGCCCCGCCTCTTCTTATTGAGATATTGTATAAAACTTCTGAAAGACGGATTCTTCAAATCAATAAAGCCAATTTAATCACACTTTTAAGTGGCAGGTATCAAGTGTTCTGTGGCAGCTGTTAAACTTACCCCATATTTCACTTCACTGTTGATAATTTGTTTGAGTCCTTTTTGATCATTGCCCTGAGGTCACTTATTCTATATAGAAATATGTAGAAATGTCTTGTTCCTAGATATCTTGCATGTAGCATTGCCTTGTCAACCTTTACAAAAGTTGTGTAAATGGTGTCAGTCTGATGCATTTGAAGATCACAAGAGTTAAAAATAGACTTTCAAAGTGCAGTAACAATGCCTAGAGCATAGAAATTGGCAAGTAGAAAAACCTTATAGTCCACTTCATGATATATAAATTAGGACACTGTGGTCAAAATTGTCCCATCTTCTGTTGGTCACTTTACAACCTATGGTTAATTTCAAAAGAGCAGGTGTAGATATAGACATGATAATATGTCAGAAATATCTTAATTTGAGTAGTTTAGAAAGTTTAAAAGTGAAAAGTTGAAAAAACTTCATGCAAAGAACACGTTGAAATGATACTTGGAAAAAGCAAAAATATCACAAGTTTTGTACAATAATCAGTGTGAATGAATTAAGTATAAAATGTTAAATGATATGTCAACACAAAGATCACATTGCAAAACTTTACTAAGCTTGACCTTTGAGCATTATAATGAACTTTACGTTAAAAAGTGGGGCATATTTCATAACAGGGTGGCAGTGTATAACCCTTTATATTTAGAAATCGGACAAACAGGGTTATGAATTACCTTTATTGATAGCTTTAATATATATGTTCAAATTTGTTATAGTTAGTATAGTATTTTCAAGTCTTGGCAGAATCATACAAAGCGGAAACATAAGTTGTAAAGTAGATAGCATAATGACCACTTAAAAGCTGTGACAAAAAATCCGTTTCAAAGGTATTATTGGAAGTAAACGTTTCAGAATTTCAGAAAATGAATAATTTGCAAATGTTTAGTTTCATTTGGGAAATGAATATGTTTTATAAAATTGTATAGTGTCTCATATTTTCATCAATATTTATTTTAATTTTTTTTGAAAGGGCTTGAAGAGACAATATTTGGTGAAAGCTCTTGTGGCAGCAGCAGGTACATGTAGTGATTTACCTATGTCACTGTAACACATGGAAGATAAAGTGTGAGAACATTATAGAATATACATATTCATAACAATTTGCAATATTGATTGTTTTGGTCTGAATCAATGTTTCACAAAAATGATGTAATGGAATGTTTTGATATGAGCTATTGTTAGAATTTTGATTGCTTTGGAAAATTAAATGAAAATCTTTAAGGAAAAATATTTGAAGTACCAAAAGGCTCAAACCATATGAACTTCATCTTCATATATTGTTTTTGTCCCAAGGCTGGCTTATCAGTTTAACACGGAATTTTACACATGTATAAAAGCAGATATTGAGCTTCAAATGATAGTTTATATGAACTCTTACATACACAGCTGATGTAATGCTGAACCAAGTCCATTTCTGGTGCTGTAACGGCGACTCTGATGGTGTTTCTTTAATCTAGGAAACAGGAAGAAATCGCAGGGTGCCAAATCTGGCGAGTATGGTGGGTGATTAAGCACAGTTACACGTTTGCTCTCCAACAATTTCTAGCTAGTTGCTTTACAGACCCTTTGAATTTTGGTTCCCTAAATTCCATTGTCTACAGACAATTGATCATTATCAGTAGTTGTCTAACAAAGGAACACTTATTAACAGTAAAATAAAAGTAAAATATAAATATCATCAGTTCGTTATCGTACAAAAGTACATTCTCATATATCTCAATTATCACTATAGCAATTGCAAGCATGTTTGAAAACACAGTTGTATTTTAGAGGTTGTATGAAGGTTATGATAAGCTAAAATCATTGTGTCCATGTAATGCTAAAGTTAAGTATCTTTATTTACAAAAACACATAAATCCAGTCATTTCTTTTATACGAGGAGTATTCAAAATTAGTGTCGGGGCTATGGTAAAATGAAAACTTTTAAAGCAACTACCATTTTTATTTTTTTTAAACCTTCAAAGTAATCTCCTTTGAACAATATACAAAGTTTCAAACGTTTGATCCAATTTTGAAATGCTTTTTTATAGTCTTCTTGAGGTATACCCCTACACAGCTGATGTAATGCTGAACCAAGTCCATTTCTGGTGCTGTAACGGCGACTCTGATGGTGTTTCTTCAATCTAGGAAACAGGAAGAAATCACAGGGTGCCAAATCTGGCGAGTATGGTGGGTGATTAAGCACAGTTACACGTTTGCTCTCCAAGAATTTCTTAACAATGTCTGCCTTTTTTGGAGTAGCGTTGTCATGGAGTAGATACAGACCTCTCATACCAGTATTTGGACGACGTTTGCGATAATATTTGTCAACTTTGTTTAACACTATTTGTTTGTAAAACTTTGCAGTAACGGTACGACCTTTTGGAATAGGAACTTGTGTCACTACACCATGTATACCAGAGAACATGGCATACATAACCTTCTTTGTGCTAGTCATTCTTAGAGCTATACAGGGCCTACGGGTATGTTTGCTGGCCCATATCTTATTATTTACCTTCCTTGTGGGCTCAAAAAAGTGGAACGAGCTTTCGTCTCCAGTTACAATGTTAGAAAATTTACGATCGTTATATTTGGGAAACATCTTCAATAATTTCTTGGCACATTTTACACGCTCTTGCTTTTGCTTTTCAGTCAATAAATGTGGTATCCATCTGGCTGCAATCTTCTTACCTTTGAGGAGCCTCTTTAGAATCGTAAATGTACTTCCCCATTGAAATGCCAGTATACTTAGCTATTTCAGAAACTGTATATCGAGCTTCTTTGTTTATGAGTTCTTGCACTCTTTTAATGTTGTTTTTGGTGACCACTGTGTGTTTTCTTCCCCTACCACTAGCATCGTTTAGTGACTCCGTTCCACTTTTAAACTTAACAATCCATCTTTGAACTGTCCTTTCACTAACCACAGATGGTCCATAAATACGACAAAGTTCTTTATGAATGGCTGCACCACTTAACCCAAATGTCATACGCGCTTTGATGTAAGCTCGAATTTCAACATTATTTACTGAATCTTTTCCAGCCATTTTTATACGCAGTTGATCGAATATTCAACTTTCAACACTAAATTTCTTAAAACGTGTGTGAATTAGGATACATGTATGATACACCGTTGGAAAGATAAAGAGATGAAGCGTAACATAATGTAACTTTGCACGTGATTCACGAAATATACTTAGAGAAAAATGAGGCCCGTCACTAAATTTTGAATGCTCCTCGTATAAATAATGCTGAGTATGTTACATTTCATGTACATATGCTAATCACATTCTTGTTCGTAAAGACCTATCAGTTTTTCATATAATTTTAAACAATCATTTGCATTACACGGGATCTGTAGGTTGGGTTAAAGAAGGTATGCCAGTTCATAGAATTCTGCACTCTCTCTTTGTTTGGGGGAAGCAATCATTTCTTGACAACAAAAAAATATATTCAGTAACATCAATATGTTTCCCCATTTCGTATCAACCAAATAATTTGGAAACGTAATATCTGGCTTATCAGACGGAAGTTCGTTTTCACTTTTCTGATGCCGGATATTGTGTATTTTTTGTGATTTACAGTATATCCATAATACAGAAACGGACACACTGATTAAGTGCACAATATTTGTCAATAGCTCGCAAATCTTTCAGTTTATTTATCCACTATTGTATACCTTGACGTCGCAGTTAGCTTTCCAAATCTTTAACGTCTTATTGTGCCGAAAGAATATCTCCTCGGTGGCATAAATTATTCGCCGTCAATATTCGCTTCAAGTATCGGATGCTTATTTTAATATTGTGTTGACAAAATAAAAGAAAAACGAGTTCAAAGTACTTAAAACTAGTGTTTAAACATTTTCACTAAGTTTAGGCAAGACTGTTTATTTTGATTTCCTGGTGGAATATTGTGAGGTATCACAGCTTCGCTTCTGCATGGCTTATCAGAACTGTTGAGAAAAGTACAACCCTTGCACACTGCATTTTCATCGGCCCTGCAATTTACAAAAAAGTTCCATTTCACCCTCGGAAAAAATTATAAACAAAACTAGATCTACATATATTATGCATTTTTATTAATATTTTACCTAACCATTGTGTTTTCACTGTATTTTGCAAAACTAACATAAAGAAATACTTGCGCCTGTTTTGAGTTGTTTATTTTCACACCGTACAATCAAATGGGCAGACAGCTGTTCCAGCGTCCACAGCTGAACCAGTATATACATGTAGGCGCGGGGAATACTGTTGACGTACGGTAAGTTTTCATATATTTTTTACATATCCCAACTGTGTTCGAGTAAAGCAATGTTATGGATTCATAGTCAACATCCAAGGGAGCATGCTAACAAATTTCTGGCCCTTTGCAAACCTTACTTCACGTGAATTTTGACTGAAGATGACCACATTATCCGATGAGATGCGGTATTTTTAGTTTAAAGTCACAAAAACTTATATTTTATCATGATTATAAATCCTTTTTTCATACGATTCGTAAACGTCAACATTTCGTCATTAATTATTCCAAACCATACCTTTAAAAAAACTTTTTGGTTAAAGTTATAAGGTATTTAAGATAGAGTGTCATCAAAATTTTAGTAACGTGATCAGCTGTTCGCCTCTTTTTAATGATAACGTCGACAGCGATTCATCGACAAGAATGAATAACGCTGAAAGCTGTTCAAAGAAACAATTTTCAGCGCTTTTGTGCTACAGTAACTAGGAAGGAGTAAAACTTTTTTGTTCATTTAAAATATTTAACGCAAATTTAACGCTTAATACGAATACTCTGTATTATAAACAAATCCATCAAGTGTTATAAATAATGACATAAAGTAGACATGTCCCATGCAGTAAATGTATGTATGTATGTATTGTATTGTATTGTATTGTATTGTATTGTATTGTATTGTATTGTATTGTATTGTATGTATGTATGTATGTATGTATGTATGTATGTATGTATGTATGTATGTATGTATGTATGTATGTATGTATGTATATATATGTTTTGTGTGTATGCGCGTATGCGTGCGTGTTTGTACTTATGTGTATGTGTTTGTGCGTGCGTATGTGTGTGTATTTGTCTGTGCGTGTAGTATATGTGTGTCTTTATTAGAGTGTTTTGTGCGTATTTATGATTTTTTGTCTGTGCGTTCATGTCAATCCAACCATTTTTATATCATTCAATGATATGATAAGGTTAATTACTGCAATTATGACATATTGTGTTTTTGACTTTTCAGAATTTATAAGGGAGAAAAAGATACAGCAATGGATACTTATAAATGTTACTATTGTGTATTGACATTTTCAATATTCCAAGACATCATTAAGCATTTGGTGGAAACACATCCGTTGAACTGCCTGAAATACAGAGAATATGAGTTAAACAGTGTCACTGGAGTATCGGGGTATAGAACTAAAGAATTCAAGAACATAGTACCTGCAGATGGGGAAGTTTTTGTAACAAGTGACTATAAGGTTGGTATTTACAAAGGAGTAGAAAATCAAAAGAAGACGAAGTTGAACACGCCTATAAAGAATGATTTAATTGAAACCAAAACTGAAAGTTATCCACCATTCATAGATATCGACAAGAATTTAGACGAATATTTACAGGAAATGGAGATGGAGCAACTACACGACGGTGAACACAAAGATGAATTTTCAGAATTGATTGAGTGTATTCCAGAAGTACTTGAAAATTTAAAAGAAAGTGGTCAATTGAGTTCTTTCAAAAAGTTTTGTGAATTAATTGTCCAGAAACGATTTCCTCTTACGAACATTTGTTATCTTCTATTTCTTGACATTGTCGATTGGTATTCTAATAATAGTACGACAGAAATGAGATATTTAAGAAACCAAACTAGACAATTCTGGGAAGTTGGTTATCGTTTATTTAAAGGCAAATTTATTAGATTTATGTCAGGGCCTAGAAATACAGGTCTTATTGTTAAAGGTGTTGAAGAAAGGGGAAACCATTCTGCAGAACGTTCTCAAATAAACTTTGCTGTGCCTTCACTAAGTATGTTAACAAAAGAAAAACTAAATCCAGTATTTCCAGGAGTAATTGAAACTTCCATTGAATTTTTATCAAAGTGTTTAACATCAAACTTTGTCAAAATTGCGGTAGATGGCAAAAAAATTGCGCGCGGAAAAGGGAAAATTGCTGGTGATATTGATTGCTGGGGGTTTGAAGCAAAGCCCACGTTACAAGAAAAGGTCGACAGATACAATTTAGAAAAAAACAGAATTCAAGAACTCACCAATATGATAGAATCTATGATAGAAAAAAGCCACCATTTCATTCCCGATTTTAATATTCCAAAAGTGATTTCGGATCTTCAGCATCTTATTCTTGTTCTGAGTAAGCGAATAAAAGATCTAAGGGGAATCATTATTCGCTTACAACTCGGGTTAGACAAGTTCATGAAACTCGGAGATCTGTCTTCAAAACATTGGAGTAAATCAAGATTTGCACCAGTTATAAGCATTTTTAAAGTAAATAAGTATGAGGCAGAGCAAGCAATTGAAACATCACTTAGGTTAGTAAAACAGTTTGGTTACTTTTGCAGTAAACTAAATGGTTGTGAACATAACTACTCACTTAATGATTATGTTAACATAGAAAGACATTCAAATTACCACCAGTTAAAGAGTGATATCCCTGGTGAAAATCCTCAGACTACAAAACAGAAATCTGAAACCTGGTTAAATCTTAGAACTCGTTCATCTGTTACAGGAAGCACCTGTCATACTGCATTGGGCCAAGGGAAGTTGAAGGACATGCAGGCTCATTTTGATAGAGTTAAAACAGGGATTGATAATAGACAATTTACTGAAGTTCAATTAAGAAATATGAATTACGGAACGGATCATGAAATAGATGGTATTGCGACGGTAGTAGCGAGAATACTGCCATCAATGTTTCCAGGTATGGAGTATTTTGAAGAGGGCTGCATTCCTATACCACATGAAACAAATCCGTTCTTTATGATTGTAAGTCCTGATGGAAGTTTGCGTGACTCGAAAGATGCAAGCCCAAAGATAATGTATGAAAATAAATGTAAAGTGGAAAATAACTATAGTACACCAGTATTTTACCAAATTCCAAAATATTATATCGCCCAGTTGTTATCTGAAATGGCATGTTATGGTTGTAACGAACTGTTGTTTACTTGTTGGAGTAAGAGTTCCACTACAGCATTTTCAGTGAGATTTGATCAGAAACTATGGAAAATCATATGGGATGAGCTGATTTATACTTACTACGGAGCACACTGTAAAAGACCAAAGAAATTTCCTGATTCTAAACGACAGATAGACAAATTGTTTGATGACTTTCAGACACACAATGTGACGTTCATTGGTGAGTTTCCATCATGTTTCGTGTCTTTTCCACCGAAAGATGTCAAATACGATGGAACAAGTGTCTATGTTTCGAATGAAAACCACGAACAACAATATAGAGAACTTCCGTGTGATGATATCTTGAAAACTCTGCATGAAATGTCAAGAACCTTAGATGATATTTATAAACTATGTCGTTCCTCAGCTTCCGAAATATTAGTTTACATGGCTAGCGATTTAAACAGGAGCTATCATGCAGAAATAAATAACGCTCATCCAATTGCTTATGCCATGAAAGGGACAAGCATGACTAATGAAACTTTTGGGAAAATGCTTGAACATGTTACAAAGAAATGTGAAGAAAATGGATTAAACGTGATTGCAACAGCTTCTGATGGCCAATGGCATAAATATGGCGTCCGAGACCTTGTTGACAATAAACCACTTACATTGTATCAGCTACAGCGGGACATATGGAAAGAACAAATGTCAGTCTCTGCATCAGAAATGCGCAAGTACTTAAGGAATCTAATGAAAGTATCCACAGGAAACCTTGATAATGTGACAGTGATAAAAAACAGTAAAGGCAAGTTAACAATATCCCACACAACTGATAAACCAGTTAAGATATTCAAATACAACGTAAAATGGCACTTCGATGAACATACATCAGCCAATGAGAAAAGCTTTCATGATGTTTCTGAAAATCTGGAAAGTGACATCATACAAACAGTTGAAACATTTGCACCATCGTTAGATATTGACGAAAATGTCGTTTCAGGTATCAATACTATCGCAGAGAATAGGCTTACAAGTGAAATTGATACAGCTTCTGGATATTATCTCAAGAGTTTATTTGAAGAAGAGTGTAATGACATTTTCCAGACCTCATTAACCAATTATAAAGAAACGAATTATGGGTTGAAACACCACGATATTCTAAATAAGCCGAATTCCGATATAAATTTGCGAGAAATCGAAAACAATGAGCAAATAAGCTATGACAATTATTCTACAAGTGATGTAATGGGTGCTGCATATTCTTTATTATACGGTGAAGTTCAACCCGATTCAATGGAACATGACAAAATTACATATAATAATCATGATGAAAATCAAACTGAACTCATACCACACTCAGAGATTCAAGTCACTGAATGTGAAGAAACAAACGAGCATAACATAGACTTGGAAACAAACGCATTTCTGAGGAAATGTGAAATTGTGCTATGTAAGCTTCAAAGTGTTGTAAACGCTCGAAAAACAGATTGGCAACAGTTTTCTGTGAAAACCTTTGCTGATATGGTTGTTCAAAAAGAAATATGTTGTTCTAAAATACAAAAGAACGAGTTAATTATTGTTTTGAAAGAACTAAGCTCTTTGATGAATACCGACATAAAGATCTTTAAATCTTGGACAAAATCAAAATTGTACGATTCTTTATTATCAGCTCTAAAAACCGCAAACAACATGCAAACTAATTCATCAACAATCAAACAACACCATAACAATCCTGATAAATTAACGAAGATTTTATCAAAATGGTTGAACAAAGTCCCAAAAGAAACTTTAGCATGTGTGCTTGCACATGACTGTTACCATGACAGGTATCTGAACTGGTGTTCGAAGTCAGCAATGCCTAATACTGACATTATACAGGATTCAAAGAATCGGTCTTGGTTTTCGGTTCCAAGTAATAGTTGTAGTGACGCAGTTAGGTTTCATTTTGATGATTGTTGCCATATTTTGACCTGCCTTCGAACAAAGATTTGTACTACAGGAATAGCCGGTTTACAACAGATAGCTTGGGAAAAGGCGGCTATTAGTGAAAGCACAAAATTGAACATTGCTATAGTTAAAGAATGTATTGATAAGCAGAGTGTTCCGTTTGCAAGACGTATGTTTGATTATGATGTAGAGGACTTTATGAAGCAAAATCATTATAAGAAAGAGGCAGAATTTGTTCGGCTTATCAGAGATTGGTTCGAAGCTGAAGACTCACCAGGTATCCCGGCGACTGAACGATGTTGCCGACGCCTTACACTAAGAGACTATCTTCTTGAAGATGTAAATTTTGCAGCATTTCCCCCTGCTACACAGTACATGAAAGGAATTCCCATTGTAACTTATGAGGCCCTTCTTGTGCATTTGGAGAGGAAATTACAAATATTTCAATATGTACCCGACCATAAATACAATGTCAGAGCCCTTGGTACACAAGAGGTAGAACAATTCTTCAGTACAATGAGCGACATGGACCCATCAGGACTAGGCACTCCTAAACCGGATGACATTCCTGATATCATCGCCACTGCAGCATATTTGGATAATGTTAGAATGAGTCCAGAAAGGTAATTGTAAAACATAGTAGATTGACTTGTTTTTTCCATGTGTCAATAGTGACAACTCGATTAAACTATACTAATTTTTATTTTATCTCACACATTTAACTATAATTAATCACTTCACTTCCAAAAGTTTCACTGCCTGTTTTCAATATCAAAAAAGATATATAACATTTGTACATATATCTTACAGGTCTTTTCATTTCAAGACCAGTCGAGCACCAGTGTATCCAGACGTTGTACTGGAACACCATAGTAATGACTCAAATGAAAAGGAACATGTCAATGATGTTATGTAAGTAATTCTATTATTCAAATTTTTCTATTTTTATCCGAAGGTTGCTATAAAGAATTTCAATCTTTATAAAATTTCCCATTGTTTAATGTAACATATATGTATTCGGTTTTAAATCATCTTATTTGATATTTATATACTGCAGGGACCACTTTTTTGATACTGAAGCTCGTTTACGTAGAAAGCAGAAAAGAAAGTCAGGACTGATAACATCCCCAAGCCAACCAGCACGCAGGCAGTTAGGAGTCAGGCAATACCATGCATGTCGAGAAGATAAACTCAGCGCATTGTCTCGGAAAAACAAAACTGACCTTTAACACATTGTTAACACATGACTTTGAACTAAAAGTAGAACTCTTTCATGAAAAAAAACACAATAGAGAAGATACTTGTTTGATGAAGGTTTCTGACCTTAATGATTCATACGATAAGTATGCCTATGAAAAAGATATACATATTCAGTGTTCAATACTTTATTTCAATCAAGTTGCAATTACAATAATCAAGTTGTTAATGACTAGATAGATATACAAATATAAATATAATTAAGATGATTTGTAAAACAATTTTTAAGATAAAACATGTTTTTCCTCTTTCATGAGTTGTGTGAAATAAAGTAAGTCATTAAAAGAATACAATAAAACAAAAAATACTGAATGCAATTTTGATTTCTATATTTTCATATAAAAAAAAACTTATAACAAAAAGTTATACCGTACTTGGTACTTTACTCAAAAGTAAAAGAAGATATAAAAATTACAAACTTCACATATCATGAAAATAGCAAAACAATGTGTACATGTCTGATCTTGTGATAAAAAGAGCATTTTTTTAAACAATGAAAATACAAAAATACAAAATTAATTGTGGTATTATTAACAATGGAATTATGTTTTGTGTAAACAAGATATTTCTAATTAAACGGGATTACGTGTTATGACAAAACATCATTATTATAAAGATTTCCTCAGGTTATATGACCAAGAAAAATGACGTTTTTTATATAACCCGAGTTATATAAATAAGGGTTTATATACTTAACACTTCAAAAAGTTATACCTCTAAGAGTATATCTTTATCATCATTACATATTGAAGTAAAATATTTAATAAAAACAATTACTTAAAAGATTTCAATAAAATCGAAAAAAATCTGTATGCTTAACAGTTTCTCAAAACGATTCAAAAATAAAGGTCTAATGATCTTACATAAGTGCCTTAAAATCAAGATGAATTTTCATATTATAACATATTATTTTATACCTTTCCTTTGCATAGACTGATAAGATAACTTTTGTCTCTATTTGTCTAAATGTACAACTCAAACAAGGAAGCATTCATGATGGATGTTTGTCTTTTTGGTGTTTTATCATACCAGACTGGTATTTGTATACCTTTCCACAGTGAACACATGGATAAACGAGGTTCTTATGATGCGCTTTGGTGTGTCTAGCCAGTGAATCTTTGCTGCTGAATGAAACATTACATAAAGAACACTGAATTTGTTTTTTCCCGGTACATACCGCTTGATGCTCATTGCGCCTGTATCTGTTATGAAACCTTTTGTCGCATCCGATACATACATGAGGTTTCATACCCGAGTGTGTGTTAACGTGATCTTGATAAAATTCATTTCTAACGAAAGCTTTTCCACATCCGGCAAATGGACACTTCAAATTTCTTTGTTGATGTAAAAGTTTGACATGTGCTTTTAGATTACATTTTCTCTCAAATTCTTTTCCACATTCACTGCACAGTAGATTTTTAACATGCTTTTCGGCTTTATGTTGTTCATATTCTAACTGAGAAGCAAAAAAGAGATAACATGTTCCACACTTTATCATATTGCTGTCATGTATCTTGATATGTCTTTTTAGGCTTTTTTTGTTTTTATATGATTTGGAACAAATACTGCACGAATGTGTCTCGGATGACTCTATTTCAATTTCTACAAATGAGCCGTCCATTGGATCATCTATTGTGTCCTCGTTTTCCATCTGAAAAAAATGATAACAATAATTGAAGTAAGATTTTTTGATTCGGCATCATATATATTCAAGTTTGCGCACATAGCATTCTCAGAATATTTATATAAAGAATTTAGGGAGTTGTTAACTTAGAATGTATTTCAGATAATTTTGTTTTAAGGAGCTCTAAAAATCAATAATTTCAGAGCTTTTATAAAGATTCATATCATTTAGGCTTCGTTTTATTTTATTTTATTTCTTACTTGATTTGACATTTTATATTTATCTTAGTCCCAGCTCAACATGAAGTGCCTCAACGCGAAACTTGTTTAATATTCATTTCCACTTTTCAAGGTATCTATAGACGGCACAAAATTATGTTCATATAAATGTATAAAAGATTCCACCTATCAGATCTGTCTAGTTTTTACCCGTTAACTTAATTAACATAAATTTTAAGTGTTAACAATATATCTCGAAATATCATTAAAAGGAAAAAAAAAACACTTTGACTTACTGCAAACGTTAACGATACTTCTTTGCAAGGCGATCTGTTTTTATACTTTTATTGTAAATAAGTGTCTATGTGATTTTCCAAAAGTCTGTTTTTTCTAATAGCATATGAAGGTAAAGTCATAGAATAACCATATAAACACACAGTAATCTGATTTGCATATCCCCCGCATATACAAATCATAGAACTGAATGATTTGATGTTCGTTCTCTTTTGTACCATAGTCTGAATATGTATATCCTATAAAATGTAACCCCTCTGCTAGAATGCAAACATGGCTCCGCATTATTTATCTATGCACTTTCATAAGCCATTCACTGCATAGGACTTGTCCACTATATGTCTTTATTTATAATAACACTTGATGGATACGTTCATTAACAAGACTGAATATTCGTATTAAGCGTTAAATTTGCCTTTGCCTTTTGAATTAAACATTTCATAAACCTATTACAGGAACTCCACTGAGGTTTATAAGCCTAAAACATGAAATTTTTTCACATAGATAAACATGAGCACTTAAAACATAAATATTAATAAAATATAACCACGAAATATAGAAGAAATACATTAAAACTCATATGTTTGTGCTATTATCAGTCCTATTTGAGTGAAAAGCGTTTAAACTCTTTTCAATTTTGGGTCATTTTTCACTATTCTAATAATTATTCTTGAAAAACGGAGCAAGTTAATGGTCGGAAATTTGAACATAAGTTATTAGTATAGATCTACATCAAATGGAGAAATAATCTCAAAAAAAAAATTTCCTGTCCTGTCGTGTCAAAAAACCTTAGTGGAGTCCCTTTAATAGATCTTGCTACCTTTTTATATTGAAATACAGTGCGGTTAATGGAGATAAAAGGCCTCTCAGCTAAGATACAACAAATAATAGAAAGTAATAATAAAAATAATATAATTAGAAAGTATAATGAATGAAGTAATATTTTAAATTAACAAAAAAGTTTTACTCTTTCCTAGTTACTGTAGCACAAAAGCGCTGAAAATTGTTTCTTTGAACAGCTTTCAGCGTTATTCATTCTTGTCGATGAATCGCTGTCGATGTTATCATTAAAAAGAGGCGAACAGCTGATCACGTTACTAAAATTTTGATGACACTCTATCTTAAATACCTTATAACTTTAACCAAAAAGTTTTTTTGAAGGTATGGTTTGGAAGAATTAATGACGAAATGTTGACGTTTACGAATCGTATGAAAAAAGGATTTATAATCATGATAAAATATAAGTTTTTGTGACTTTAAACTAAAAATACCGCATCTCATCGGATAATGTGGTCATTTTCAGTCAAAATTCACGTGAAGTAAGGTCTGCAAAGGGCCAGAAATTTGTAAGCATGCTCCCTTGGATGTTGACTATGAATCCATAACATTGCTTTACTCGAACACAGTTGGGATATGTAAAAAATATATGAAAACTTACCGTACGTCAACTGTATTCCCCGCGCCTACATGTATATACTGGTTCAGCTGTGGACGCTGGAACAGCTGTCTGCCCATTTGATTGTACGGTGTGATTTTAACTGATTCTATAAATTCATCACTATTCATAACCAGCTGAGTGACGTCATTCTTTGCATGCATAAAGGCGCCAGAATGACGTAACATAATAAAAGTTGCATGAGTGAACAATATCGATTTATCTATCGATGTAGATACCATAAAATCCAGTGCGAAATCTAAAAATAAACTGTTGTAAAGATAATAAATTACAATAATACTTGAATAAAAAAGAAATTTAACATACGATACTTGACATGAAATTGCATTCTTCCTTATTTTTCTGTTTGTTTATTACCATAGTAACAGGAGGGTGTTGTATAGAATATCCATATGTGAAAATTGTCAGTGGAAATAATATCTGCTTGAAAAATAGCCTCAATAATCTACATTTCTTGTCTTTTTATTGTCATGTTAGAATCGGATTATAACATCGGTCTGAGCGGTGTTTATCGGCTATTTAATACCTATTTGTCGTTTTGATGCAAAGTGATTCACTACTCAGGACTACGGCCTTCGGGCATCAAAACTCCAAACCGGTATTAAATAGCCGATAAACACCGATGATATTTTCGTAAGGATATTACAGCTAAAGAAATGTAGTACCAACAGTGATCTTATATATACTGGATTACGTAACATGAGACTTTATAAGATCGATCGACACATATAGGATTTAATAAAAAATATAAAGAAACATAACATACCCTCTGTAACTGGTAGATTGTCTTGTCCTGCGTAACAATACAACTTTTCAAAGTGTACTTTTCGACACCTATTTTGAACCTATGTTTATTATTTCCCGCTACTTGCAGATGATAATTTATAGATACTAGGTAATAATTAATAAGTAATAAATTATAAATAAATATTAATAGCTTTTAAATAATAAGTTATAATTTTTGAATAATAAATGTCCCTCCAGGGCTTCCGTACAATCGAGATATAATAGTTCACGAAATGTATAAAAAAGGCAATTACCTGTAAGCATCTTCATCGAATTTGCCAGTTTTTTTTTCGCGTAACAACCTTCTGCAAGTACGGAAGCACTGGAGGGACATTTATTATTTAAAAATTATAACCTATTATTTAAAAGCTATTAATTATTATTTATCACATATACCCCGTTATTTATAATTTATTACTTATTAATTATTACCTAGTATCTATAAATTATCATCTGCAAGTGGCGGGAAATAATAAACATAGTGTAGAAAATAGGTGGTAAAAAATACATTTCTGTGAAAAGTTGTATTGTAAATATCTCAAAGTAGAGATTGGTTTTGTTTCCAGACCCTTTACCTTGCTTAAAGTCACTAAATTTAAATTGCAATATAATGATTGAATGGTCACACTGAAAACTGCGTTTTATAAAAATATTTTTACAGTTTTGTAACATTAAAGAAGATAAAAGAAAGAAATCGAGTCTAGCTTATTGCAGTGGGTTTGCCTTTCGCCAAGTTTATCGCTTTTCATCAGGTTGGAGCTCCCTAAAAGGATCAGTTAACTTTTTTAATTAATGTGTTTCAAAAAAGTTGTTCTTGTATTTTTTATTATTTATATTTTTGTAGTTATAATACTCTAAATCATGATTTTGCACCAAATTAAAATCTCCACAAATGCAATGAGTCATTTCATGTATTCTCAACGACATTGAAACTGTTCTCATAAAAGGACAGATTGTCTGAGTTCGGTCCATAAAACGATACTAAAGTAAATATTAGTTCTCCAACAGATAAGTCCAGTATGACATGATTTCCAAAATAATCAATTCATCTTAATATATTTTGTAATCTAGTGACTTTGAGAAACATATTGCAACTCCCCTAGAATCTGAAGATGAACAACTTAAAAAAAACATTCCGCATTCCACTGAGTTTGACTGGTGTTAAATTGACTGTGTATAAAACGTGTGTCTTGAAGACAGTAAATATCTCATTTTGTGTCATTTATGTATTGAAATATATGCAGCCTTTTCTTAATACCTTGTAGGCCACTGCAATTACGAAATAACATTTTTAATTCACTCATATATTTTTAGTAAGACAAATCGTTTGATTGCGGAACTAATACAAGGAGGTAATGAATACAAAAAAAAAAAACATTTTCAAAGGCAAACTAAAAACA